GTTGGGCCCCGCCCACGGCGGCCGTTGGGCTCCGCCTCAGGGCGCCATGATGCCGGGGCCGGCGCCCGCGGGGGAGGGGAGTTACAAGTAATAACAATAAATAATAACGATAATAAATACGGGCCGCGCCGTGTCAGGGCTTCTTCTTTGGGGACCTGCGCTTCGTTGCCGAGTTTCGATGCTCTTTCGGTTTGTTTTGGTTTGTTGCAGTTCTCTGATTTTCACACCGCAGAAAGGAAATGTCGGGTGCCTCCTTGCCAAGGTCAGCAGCTGCAGGAACCAGCTGCCCTGCTCCACCATGCTCTGGCCAGTCCTGAATTTAATCTCGTCTGTTTTTAATAACGCCTGCTACCTGCTATTGACTGTTCAAGGCTCTTTTATTAAGGTTTCGGCAGTCGAGTAAGCAATAAATTACCTTGTGTGAAGGTTTCCTCTCAAATTGTGTATTAAGTGTAGCTATTGGGCACTCTTTCATCCCCCTAAAAAAATGTTCCATTTTCAAAGTCAAGCACTTGCAAGTTAGAACTTGCTTGCACGATACCCAGTTAACCTATCTATTATAGCAATCTTTACCAAAATAAAGTAACTTTTTAACCACACCCTTGGCCTCATTTAGTGTTCACTAAATATTGAAGCATTTCACGCTTTAATTTATTCTCTTTGCTACATAGTTCCAGGGTCCCTGGAACCTGCTTTGATATATCAGTTAAGTCTCAGCTTCAATAATACTGACTCCCTTCTCTTCTTACAATAAGGCCTATAGCATCTGCTTCACAAAGTTTAAAAAACCTATTGGCACCACTTCCCTGCTCGATAGAAGAGGTGTTACATGTATTTTATATGAGAGAAGCAAGTGCTTTCAGGACAGACATTTAATTTTGGAAAAAGTTAGAGGCAACAGCAAACTCACCCCCCCAAGTATCGAGCAAGTTTACTGATAGTTGCTGAGTTGTTGTACTGTTATATTTTTACCAGGATACGCAAGATTTTTCTGAGTGGAAAAGCACGTGGAATGTTTCCTTAACCGAATCTGTAGAACTTATCCTATATTTCTACTTTTTGCTGCCAATTTTTTGTAGTCTTCTGAAGAACTATACCAGGCATTTCTGCCAAAAATGTACATATTTAGAGAAATCCTCGTCATTTGGTGATATAGATTGATCACTGTCAACAGCTGAATAACCAACACCTCCAGTTAGCAAGGTGAACAGTGATTTAATCAGGAAATACTAAGGGGAAAAATCGATGGTGTGAAGGACCTAATCCATGCAAAACTTTAGTTTTGAGAACCAGCCTCTTATTGATTTCCTTGGACACTGTTCAAGGTTGTTTTGCTTTTGGATGCGTGGGCTAGTGGACGGTTCTTATCCTGACAGACTGAAGAGGTAAAAATCCCCAATAACCTGAAAGGGGGCATTGTTTTTCATTGCAGGATCTCATTTTTGCATCAGAATTTTATGCTTCTTTCACTTACCAGCTCCATGTTGGGCATTATGAGCTGCTGAAGCATCAGCCCACGCTAGGAGCTGTGTGCCCTATGCTAATCTTTGCTTTTCTTTCTTGGCCATCTGGAGCTATCTATCACTTCCCTGCTGAGCCCACGATACAATAATCTCAGGCTGCACAGGGCCGTTCAGGCGCAGCTCGAACGAGGCGTTCCTCGGGGCTGCCGGCCACCCGGTTCGTCGGGGCCAAAGCCGGGGCGCGGGAACGGTGGAGGCGGCCGTAGCCCAAGCACGGCCCGTGGCCCGCCATGAGGAGACGCTTTAGGAAGCCCAAGGCCGGGGCGCGACAGCCGCGCATGCGCATTGCCTCCTCCCTGCAAACTACAACTCCCAGGCACGCCGGGGGCGGGAGGGTGCCGC